CATTGGGGCCATGGATGTCACCTGTCTTCAGTTGTCCTCAGAGCTTCATAAAAGAAACTTTGAGGTACTTGTGGATCCATCTCATCTGTCAGACTCATCATTTCTTTACATTTGGGCTGGCAGCCTCCAGCATTTTCTTTCCTTATGAATTGACCTCAGTTGTTACAAGGGTGTGGGTTTTGTGGTTGGTTTTTCGTATTACTTAAAATGGGCCAGCCTCTCCCAGCTGTTTGCATTGGACTCTCTTAGAGGTGCATATTCAGCTCACAGATGGGGACTTTGACTCAAAAGCCAACTGAAACTTTCCAGGAATTGTGCCAGATTATGGGCCACAGTAACTGGATAGGCCTGATCTTTCTACTTCCTGGGTCAGTTACGTTTCTATGCCTCGATTTTCTTATCTTTAAAATGGGGATGAGGCTAGAACCAGTCTGAGTTGTCAAGATTAAATGCCACTGTGTGTCAGATGGGAGGTGGTTGGGTGTTCTGGCTGGAAAGGGTGTTTTGGCTTCTGTGGTGGAGGTAGTGGTTTAAAGCAGAGATGAGACAAAGTTAGAGTGTCACATTTTCTGTAGAAAAAGCTCTGTTCATTTTTTGAGCAGAAAATTCAGCTTCCTTGGCTCAAGGGCCCATGTGGGCGTGGTTTGAAGGTGAAGGAAAGTAGTTGTGTCTAGAGCCCTCCATCCTTGGCTTTGCCGAGAGTCCATTTGGAAGGAGAAGAGGCACACAGCCCAGAAGTTCCAGATCTCAGTTGCCTTGACTTCATCTTGCCTTGGAGACACTGCTTAAAGATTTCCAGCACATCGTTACTTAATGGAAAATTTATGGAGCTTCTTCCTCCTGGTGGGAGGTGCTTGTTTCAGCCCTCTGGCAGCCTGTGTCCTTGTGGCTGACAGAGCTTCACTGCCCTCGGGCCAGCACATCTCCTTAGAAGTGGGGCTGCTCCTGCTCCTTGCCTGCCACAGCTTACCCGGCACGTGCTTAGCTGTGTAATTCCTAAGCTTCTTTGTAGGAGGTATTTAATAGTAGAAACCAAACTGCAGATCATTCTTCATCTTCACTAAATGCCACCCTCACTCCCAGGGTCACTTCTCCAGTGCGTCTAAGCCTCCCTTCATGATGGGGCCACAGTTACATTCATCCTCTTTTGCTCCTTTGTTCTTGCTGGTCCTGATGCATGGAAACCCTCTTCCAGCCAACTCCAGGCATCCTTAAACCCGACTGACATATTTCTTTCTCTGTTGTGCTGCCTCTCTGTGAATACCTGTATCCAAGCACTCAGCATGTCCTGTATCTCTCTGTATCTAGCTCATGACCACCAAACCACAGGCTCTTGGCTAGCTGGCATGTTGCCTGTGCCATTCATCTTTCTGTCTCCCCTTGTGTCTTACTGGTTTCCAACCGCAGTTTCTTTAGTTGCCCCGTAAATGATTACCCCATCCACTTAACCTATGGAGGGTTTGTGAGGGAGCACTGTATAGTTCCTGCCATCCTGTGAGTGCCTCTCCATCCTCTCTCCCTCTTCCAACAATTTTCTGCAAATTCTAGCCCACTGGCTTCCCCACCTGGAACCTGGAGTTAGTCTTAGCTGGCTGCCCTCACCACTCCTTACTTTATCCTTGTCCTGTTCTATCGTGATATCCTTAACTGTTTGTTTTTGTTTTTACCAGTTTACTGTTTTGCTTATAGCAGCTTTATTTTGAAAGGATACCAAATCAGAAGTAACATTGACATCAGAGTTTTTTAAAGACCATGAGAACAAAACAATATTGTTAAATTCCATCTAGATAATAGTATTGTCTGCTGTCATCCCTCAGCACAGCCTTTCACACTAGCACAAACAGGGATTACCTGTCAATACTGGAATGAGAATAAAAGGAAATGAAAAGAAGGGAATGTGCACTAAATGATTAAATGCCATCTATCTAAAGCCAGTTTGTGCTCTCCTGGTGGCTTTGGGGACATGGCTCTGTGAACCTTTCCATGGCCCCATCCCCGAGCCCTGGCGTGTCTCTCTGCAGGTGGCTGTGGACCCTACTTCTCTGAGATTGAGGTCCCCACTGTTTATCAACTAAACCTCAGAACTTGGAGGAATCTTTTTCCTCTTTCCTGCCATTCACTTCAGGAGTGAAGGCATGCTTTTTGTCTGCAAGACTCCATGCACAGTCGAATGCAGCTTCCAGTGTGCTGCCTTCTCACGCTGCCCTCCATACCCTGCTTCACCTTAGGTCAGCAGTGACATACTCTCGGCCAGAATCCCCCCCACCCCAGTCACACTCAGTGTCAGGTGATTCACCCTAGCCCCTTGTTCTCTCTTCCCTCTGAGCAGGCTCTTTCACCTTACCCCAGCCTTTGGATGCTCCCCACCCTGAATCTGTATGTGACCTCCTTCCTGCTTTCACTGAGATGCGTTTACTCAAGTCTGGGCTCCAGGGTACACCCCATCCTTTCCAAGTTCCCAGCCAGGTACACTTTAGGTACCCCCCACCAGTAGACCTCCAAGCGCACCCTCCCTCCTTGATTCATTGCATGGCACTTATTTCCAGGACAACATGGCCCTTAGTTCTGGCCAAACTTGTACCAGAAATATCCCTGATGGTAAAGGGAAGTGCATTGTATCCCCAGAGCCTGAAGCAAGCCTACCCAGTCATGCCTGCCTTTGAAAACTATCGTAGTCCACAGTGCTCCTGCAAGGTTGTGTTGTTGCAAAGTTTCATGATGTCCACTGTCAAATTAAGTTGCTTCAGGGAAGTGCCCCTTCTTAGTACTGAACCCCAGGCACACTGCTGTCTTGGCTTGGGGAATGCTTTCACTGGCTGCTGGCCAGCCAGTCCCCACCTCCAGTCCCCAACACACTCTCATGTCAGATACCTGTCTAGTTTTATCTCTGGGTGCCCCTTCCCCATCTCTAGCACCGTGTGTGCAAGAGAGGTGCTAAGAATTGGCTTTGCACCCACAAAAGCCCCCTTCCTGTGAGTGTTCTTCCTGGGCAGATGTTCTCCATGTAGAGAACTTAGAGGTTTCCGTAGGAGCTGTCCCTTGCCTCTAAAGTCTTGAGAGTTACCCTGAGAGGGTGCAAACTGAATTTTTTGCTGGCATCTTGGATGCATTTGGACATCATTAAATACTTAAGTTTAGCATCAGATGCAAGACCACCTCTAGACACCTAATTCACATTGCTGTAACATTCCTTCCCTCCAGCATTGGACAGTATCGCCCTTTTCTCTGAGCTAAAGGATTAATGAATTATTCATTATTTTTTGAGTGATTGGCATCTCATTTCTGAATAGGCAAAAGGCACTCTTAAATCACTTATCTCTTTGAAAAGGGTTAGAGAGCAGTCTTTCCTCTTAAAGCAAAGGATTCATTTCTCAGATCTGTAAGATCCGGAGTCTTACACTCAGTGGCCATGGGCTGCTCCCACACAGGTCCCCTCCCTGCCACAGCCTTCTCCTTAGAGCAGCACGCTCTACGTGTGTTCTCTAAGCAGTTGATAGCTAGACCTGCAGTCAGCACCCTGGAAGGAAAGCAGTCTCCCTGGCCATGCTGATTTTATCTGGCCTTGGGCTGAGGTCTAGCTCTTTACAGCCCTGCCATGATGGACTAAGTTGCTTTTACTTGAGTGAGTTGCTTTTCACACAGTGAGTTCCTTTCTCGTGCCCTTAAAATTTGGTAATTTGCCAGAACTGCATTTACAAAAACCATTGCGAGAACCTTGTTTTAAATTACACTTGGACTGAATTATATAGTAATTCAACAGCAGGTAGAATAACTAGTATCTGTTAAGTGTATTCCAGAGCAAAAGCTGTGACATAGCCAGCCAGCTTGACCCCTCTACCCACCAGAGTCCTGTGATCCTAAAAATCTGCTCTGCTCTCTTTTCCTAAAACCTTGCCTGACTTCCTCAGCTAGAGAGGTTTTCTTACCCTGACTGAACTCCTAGGTTTATTACTGGAGTCACCCATTAGATGCAGGCAGCTCCTAGCTTACAAAGTCTTTTTTCCTCCGCAGACTCATTCCTTTTTCTTGCCAGTAGAAAGGTGTCAGAAGCATAGCGCACAAAAGGTGCAAATGGTCGGTACACTTTTGAGCAGATGTTTCTTCTTATGAATAGAGTGTGGAAACTCTTGGCACTCTGAGTAATGAGTGGGTTAATGTGTTTCCGGGTTAGGGGACAGTTTGACAGTAAAAAACATGTACCCGCTGCCCTGTGGCTCTCCTGTAAGTAACTGAACAGGATACATATAAGGCACTGATCGGGGGTCTCCTGTGTCGCCCCGTCCTGGTGGATCACAGGTGCCTCTCTGTGCTTTTATAAATAAGCTTTGGAAAGCTGGTTAATAAAACAGTAGGTTGAGTATGGATTTGTTTTTATGTTATCAGCAGTTACCTTGTGGTATTTCTTTAATTAGCAAACACGCATTATTTAAATTACCGAAAAAATGTTCTTCGTAAGTGTGAGGTTTGTCCCTGAGTGCTCAGTAGTGTATTGCATGGGCCATTCAAGGGTGGGCAGCCTGGCCTTCCTACTGCTTCCTGCCAGGCCCCTGCTTACCAAATGGAATTACTTGGGTGGATGCTTCATGAGTCACAAATACAATTTTAATGAAAATGACATAATTTGGGATTTGTAAATAATCCTGTCTAACACACAAGCAGTGTCCCCTAAAAACTCTTAGATGTGAAAACTTGATTATTGTATCCACTTCCCCATGAACTTCATACCTTCTGCAGCCTCTTCCAGCTCCTGGTTGACTCTGGACTCCATGCCCTGGCCCTCAAAGTTGGGGCCTCTTTCCTTCCTACTGATTGATGAGTCTTTAAGGAGAGCAGATACTGCGACCCTTTCATCAGTGCATGGAGCGTCTCCCCAGCCAACCTGATTGGTTTTCACCAGAGGAACTCATCTCTCGGAAGCCACAGCCCAGGGGCATGTGTCGTTGTGAGTGGCATCCATCTGCTGCCTGGTCTCTGATGATGGCTTTTCTCTTCCCTTGTAGAGTGCCCGGCGAAGAATGTGATGGGATCAGTAGCATGTCTGCGGAGAGCGGTCCTGGGACGAGATTGAGAAATCTGCCAGTAATGGGGGATGGACTAGAAACTACCCAGATGTCTACAACGCAGGCCCAGGCCCAACCCCAGCAAGCCAACACAGCCAGCACCAATCCCCCGCCCCCGGAGACTTCCAACCCCAACAAGCCCAAGAGACAGACCAACCAACTGCAATATCTGCTCAAAGTGGTGCTCAAGACACTATGGAAACACCAGTTTGCGTGGCCTTTCCAGCAGCCTGTGGACGCCGTCAAGCTAAACCTCCCTGTGAGTAACTTCTGCAAGGCCTGGGGCTGCCATCCTCCAGGTCTCCTCCTGTGTGAGGGTGGACTTATGGGAGGGTGGATATACCTTTGGAGTCATTGTGAAAGCACGGGCCCTTGAGTGAGTGGTTTCGGCAGTCCTGATGAGTGAAAATTGGGAAGGAGAAAGAACCTGCTGACTGGCTTAAGCAGTAACTGGTTTCTTTGATACTAGGATCCCAGAAAGTACTGTGTAAGAGGTTGAAGTGGATGAAGGAGTGCTTGCAGCTTTCCTTCCAGTTCCATGGTGGGGTCAAGCCCTCCCTTCTCAGACATGGTTGATCAGAGTTTTCAGAAGAGGACTGGCTGACTACAGCACTTCTTCTGGTACTGGTGTCATCATCACCCAGAGTGCGGGGCAGTTTGAGAAGGCAGTGAAATGCCTCCCAGGGAGCCAGGTACATGAAAGTGGCCTGACTGAAGAGAGGGGTAGGGGTGCAGCTTTGTCCCTGGATACCTTTGCACACACCCTCACACCTGCCCACCTTGTGGCCACACTGTACTGGCTCTTGTTGTTTTGTACTCTTGTTCCTCTCCTTTGGGGTAGGGGGAGTTTTCCTCTTGCCCACACCCCTAGCACATGGTCCTAGAAACTCAACTTGTACCTCTAACTGAACCTAGGAGAGCAAACGACATAAATGTGTTAATTTTTTCCTTTCTTCAAAGCGTCATGGGCTAATTATCTTTAAATTGCTCTCTGCTGTTGCCAGATTCCACACACACCCCTGGGCAAGGGAATTGGAATTAGACGATTGCTGCTTTTGACCTAGGCATGGGTCTGCGAGTTAGAACTGCTCTGCACGGGTATAGGATCCTCAGTCTCTGCCAGGCGTCTGGTTTCAAGGAGGAGGAACACACTACATGACTTTCCTTGTTTGAAAGCCGCTGTGTCTGTGACAGCTGTCTGATACTATCTATTCATTGAATACGCATCGTATGCACTCACAGAGAGAGTTGGGAGGGGCTGCTGCAGGTCTGGGTAACGAACTGGCTCAGGAAGGGAGTTGGGGGCAAAAGAAGGGTCTTCCACCAAATCCAGACTTCAGAGGCCACTCTCATCCATTGACCACAACCAGGAGTAGAGGCAATGATCCTGCCGCTGGAGGGAAGCTCTTGGGAGAGATTGCTGTATCACTTTCTAGCTGGGCTAATGGGCTGAGCTCTGCATGGTCCTAGATGAAGTAACCTTGTGAGAGCAAATGCAAAGAATGGGGGTAGAAGGAGCTGGAGATTGGAATCCAAGTGTGCTTTTTTACAGCACTGGAGGGAGGTGGGAGGCCAGGAGGATTGCCAGCAGAGGGGAGCCCCCCAAGTTGCTACATCAGAGACTACACAGGGAGGTCAAAGAGATGAGGATTCCAACCTGACCCTCCTGTTGGCCTTTAGGAGGGCGTTGGTGACCTTAGGACCATGTGACACAGAAGTAGAAACCAGATTCACAGCGATATGAATGAGAAGGTGAGGATGTGAAGCCATCATTTCAAGAAATTTAGCTTTGAAGGGAAAGTGCAGCAGGGCCAGAAGGAGGAGGGGTTGGTTTGTTACAGGAAAATGCAGAGGGTGCAGAGGCAAGGAGAGCTGAGAGGGTGAAGACTGAGGAGAAAGGGGGACTGGGGGGCCTGAGACTCCAAGAAGGCAGCATCCCAGCCAGTAGGACAGACATGGATGTGGGAGGTCTGTTAGGCCAAGGGGTTTGGGGGTTTGAGGTCATTCTCTGAAGTGGAGAGCAGGTTCCCCAGGGGCCACAGTGTGACTGTAGATGTCACCCTCAGCAGCTCTGACATAGGAAGAAGAGGCCTGTGGATAGTGGCACTGGTCCAAAGTCTTCAGAGAGATGGGGAGAGTGTGGTACTGATCCAGAGGGATGGGGCGGGGCTGATTGGCTGGGGAAAATGTCTTGCTAAAGCCTAGTTTCCCATAAACAACCCACTTCTCCAGGAAATGTTAATAGCGCCACCCAAAAAAGTTTCTTCCTGTTTTCTGATGCCCACCAGATCTTTACCTGTGTTTTGGCCTCTGGTCCCTGCTGGACTTCTTACTAGAATGCCTGGCTCTTTTGTTCAGTACACATGTACAATTGGATTGTCATGCCCCAAGTCCCTGCCTCCCTTTCAGTCCCCAGCACCCCCTTTTGTCATCATCTCACCTCCTTCCTATTCTGTCCTCAGCCACTATCCTCTTTGGCCTTGAACCACTTGACACATGCCGAGGCCAGTTCAAGCACCTGATACCATTCTAAGAGAACTTTGGCCATAGAATAAAACCTAAATTTCCCCTAGGGAAAATATATTTGGACTTGGTTCTCTAGGGAAAGGTGGTCAGTGTAAGTGTAACGTAGAAAGTCTGCTTCAGTCTACCCTTGAGGCCTCCTGGCCAGGGCACCTAGGCCTCTGTTTGCAGCCCTTGTTTGGGCAGGGCTGAGATCTCTGCCAGCCCTGATGTGTATGCTGGTGGCTTCTGTGCCTTTCTCATGGATGTCAGAACAAGTCAGAACCTCATACCCCATGATTACCTTTTAAGTAGTCCACCACTGTTCCTGGGCAGGACCTCAGTGCTTGCTAAACCATAGGCCTGTCCCTCTGTCATCAGGCTCCCTCTTGTACTTGGTTCTGATACCTCACCTTAGCCTCATTAGGGGAACCTCAGAGAATGTGGTTCTCAGTGGGGTTGGCTGGCTGTATGCAGGTTCCCCTCCTTGGCCTGGCCCCTCTGTGGTCATTCCACCTGGAACCTGGCCACTTCCTGATCTGTCCCCAAATTCCTCCTTTGGTGGTTTTTAAAAATAAGTGTTTGGTTTTAAAATTTAGGTTTAGATTTAGAGAAAAGCTGTGATGATAGTAGAGAGTTTGATTTGAAGGACTTCAGGACACCTGCCATCTGGCCCCTTCTGTTTAGCACTTGTCAATAAGATCTGAAAGTTTGGAGAGTGGGTCTGCTGGATTTCTTTTTTTTAAAATAAGGATTGTGAAAGCCATTCATTTAAATCTTCATCTGGCACTTAACTGTATCCAGATACTAGTGGATCCTTAGATGCTGAACTGTGTGCAGGTAAAAGAAATGGAAATGTAATGAACTTGACTGGAAGTGGAGGCTTTTGCTCCGTGGTTCTTCAGTGTGACAGAAAGCAAGGGATTCACTTGTGAATGGGCTTGCAGTGCCAGTTCCATAGGATTTTACATTTTATGGATGTAGAAAATTCCAAATAGTGAGAAGAAAGTAGAACCTACCATGGTTGTCTTAGCAGATAAGAACTTTTTTAAAGGCTGTATGCCTTCCCCATTATTTATTAGAAATCAAAAAAAAAGAGGAAAACATAAATCTCAATAAAGGCAACCTGTTCCTGGACAGGACAGTTGGCAAGCTTGCACATTTTCCCTCTGAGTTGCCACACAGCCTTTAGGAATCCTTTCCTGACCCGCTTTATCTTGGGAGTCCCCCTTGAGATAGCTCACAGATGCCATGGAAGAGCTTGGATCTGCGTGCCTGTGGAATAACCTGAAGTGAGATCACAGGCCTGCCTGTGAGTGCTGCGTGGCTGTGGAGGTGACACTGGCCTTTTGCTCTCTGCTCTCCAGGATTACTATAAGATCATTAAAACGCCTATGGATATGGGAACAATAAAGAAGCGCTTGGAAAACAACTATTACTGGAATGCTCAGGAATGTATCCAGGACTTCAACACTATGTTTACAAATTGTTACATCTACAACAAGGTGAGATGTGGGGGCTGATGTCCAGCTGCCCTGGGGAAAAGAGGAGGTAAAGGAGGAGGAGGTGTGCATGTCTGGAACCTGTGGGCAGAGGTACTGAGAGCAGATGGGATTGGAGTCTCATGAGAGGAGACCATTGGAGGCAGAAGTAAATAGGAGCGCTGGTTTTGCTTGTGACTGGTTCTGTTTCTTTCGAGGCCAAAAACATTCTGGCTGTGTTTCTACGTGTCCTTGTTAGCTTGAAGTATGTACTTCTCAGCCCTTGGGGTTTTGGTTCTTGAAAAGGACAGTGACAACTCTTACTAAGAAATCTGTTTGGATGACGTGACTTGTCAGGAAGGAGCCTCCTAAAATGTAATTGTGCAAAGGTGCACTCAAACAGAAACCCAAACGTGAGAGACGGTGCATTGGGGCCTGCCGCATCTGCAACTGTGGACATGACCATTGATGACTCACAACCATAGAATCAACTGCCCCATGACCTAAAATGTAGAACTAAAGATCGCTTCTTAACCCAGTAGCCAAACCATTCAGTTTGGCTGTTCTATGAAGCCGAAGCATTTGTTTAGTCTCAGCTCTCACCACTAGGTTTAAGTGAAATGCGCACAGATGAGGATTTCAGTTTAGAGCCGAGTGGAAACAGCATATTACCGATGAGGCGGCAGAGTGGGGACCTATAAGGGAGTGAGAGATGGACATTGCCCTGAGTCCCAGCTGCCTTTGGGGTACACTGGAGAACATTATTGGAGCCATGCTCTTGTATCTGTGGCAAGAAATCCTGTGTAATTTAAGTGAAGTTGAATTGTGTTAAAGGAGGCTCTAATGCAATAGAGGGCCTCTGTGATCGGCAGAGCTTGATGGATACTTAAGGTATTAGGATGGTTTCTCAGGCCAGAACTTAAAAGACTAGAGAGGCAACAGACCTGCAGACATATGAAGCCTCCAGTGATGCCTGGTGGTGTAGCTGTGTGGCCCTTTGGGGTTCATATTGGGGAAGGACCCTGAATATGATGCTCCATGCTTTGGGGCATAGGGTGTGGAGCTCTTGTACTGTCTAGAAAAGTGGGGCGGGCTCTCCAACCCTCACCCCATGTGTTTCCTCTTTTAGCCTGGAGATGACATAGTCTTAATGGCAGAAGCTCTGGAGAAGCTCTTCTTGCAGAAAATCAACGAACTGCCCACAGAAGAAACTGAGATCATGATAGTCCAGGCAAAAGGAAGAGGACGTGGGAGGAAGGAAGCAGGTAGGGTACCTTCTGTGTCCGCAGCACTGTTAGCTTCACACTGAAATAGCAAGGAAATTGGCTTTGTTTCTCCCTAGGTTTTTGCCAACTTTCTCCAAGTTCATTGGAGGACTAGGCGTGGTGGGAAGACAGCTGCATTATACACTGGCTGCTTTGTTGCTAATTGGATATGGTCGGGCCAAGTTCATCGTGGGAACCACCCCAGAGGGTCACATGACACCCCCCCCCAAAATAGAAAAAAATTGGACACTGCCTTTTTTGATGGACTTCAGTTAAAAGGAAAGTGTAACCTTTTCAAAGCATTTTAAGCTATTTGAATTCTTCATCCCACCAGTGCCATAGTCTTTGTTTCTTTGTTTTAGATAAAAAAGAAATTAACCTGATCAAAGGCTATACTAATACCCTGATCCTAGAGCCTTGAGGTTTGTTACTTGAATTATCTTAATGCATTTGTGTCAGAGCCATGCCTGCTATTTGATAGTCTTCTAAAGTCAGGCTCTCCTTGTTTATCTTAGCACGCACCCCTGTCTCTCAGCCTGACACAAGATTCCAGAGGCCAGCTGGTAGGGAGTAGCCTGCTCATAAAATGTTTCTCTCTAGGAAAAGTACTAACAGCTGCTTCTGCCATCTTGCCATCCACAGCTTGTGCTGCACAACAGCAGTGCTTGCAAGGTGGGCCGTGTTGTGAGTTGTTTCCTTCTCTGAGGAGCAGGCTTTCACCTGGCTTCCCACCCTGCTTGGAAGTGGTGGCTTCAAAGGAGCAAAATGGGGTTGGCTAGATCCCCTGTAGGGCCGAGGGGTAGCCAAGGAGAGCTGGTCTTGAGGGCCACCCCTTGGCCGTGGAATTTGCTCAAAGGCATCCAGTAACCTTACAGCCAAGGAGGCCTACCCTCTGCCTGGGTAAGGGGTTTGGTCTTCACATGGGGCAGATGTGGGGTGTTGTATGTTTTGGCTCACCCACACCACTGCAGGGAGGCAGCCTGAGCTGGTCATGAAGGGCAGTAGCTGCCTAGCCTCCCTCTGTGGCTCAGAGTGGTGGTAGCTTGCTAGTTCCCAGAAACCTTGGCCAGGGCTGCTGATGCCGGCCCCTTGCCAGAAATGCTTACTCAGAAGGCAGTGTTTCTGGGAATGAGGACAGCTCTGCCTGAAAGTGCCAAGGAGCTTTTTCTTTTTTTTTCCCCTCTCCATCACTATCCTGGTGCTGACTCTCAGCGTGTGTTTCCTGCTCCTTTGGCTCAGGCCTTCATTCTCCTGAAGGGGTCTTTGTGCCCGAGTCAGGACATGGAGCCAGGACACCCCAGGAAGTGTGGAATGCCATGTGTCACTGCCCTCGGAGCGCCCTGGGACAGGTGGACAGATTTGGCTGAGGTCAAGGGTGTTCAGGCTGTTCTGTTAGACAAATAGTTATGGTGACACTGTGCCATGCCCATGCAGACATGCGCTTGCCACCTGTGGCAGTGTCCCCACAAGGTCAACCAGCATGCAAGCACTGCATCTAACCTGTCCCTTTTGTGATTGGTAGGGACCGCAAAACCTGGTGTCTCTACGGTACCAAACGCAACGCAAGCGTCTACTCCTCCGCAGACCCAGACCCCTCAGCAGAATGCTCCATCTGTGCAGGCCACACCTCACCCCTTCCCCGCCGTCACCCCAGACCTCATCGTCCAGACCCCTGTTATGACAGTGGTGCCTCCCCAGCCACTGCAGACGCCCCCACCAGTGCCCCCCCAGCCACCACCTCCACCTGCGCCAGCCCCCCAGCCCGTGCAGAGCCACCCACCCATCATCGCAGCCACCCCACAGCCTGTGAAGGTGAGCATCCTGTGCGTATGCCGCCCAGCCTGGCCACTGGTTGGGTCCTGCCACCTGCCTCCCTCCCCAGTTTGCAATGAGGCTTATAGGAGACACTCACCCACCCTTGCCAGTGCTTCTGGCTCCCTGGGCATTTGTGGGTATTTCTGGGGAGGAAGGGGGTCAAACTGTGTTTAAATCAGCACAGCCCAGAAGCTGTTGCCCTGCTGACCCCAAGATCCCACTTCTCAGGTGGTTGCTGCCCCCACCCCCCATGTCTGATTTAGAACCGCACATTTGCAAATGCTGTTTAAGTAGTGTCGGAAATGTGCCTCCCACGGGTGGCCAGAGTGACCGGGGTTGGCTGTGGGACAGTTCCCTGGCATTAAGCAGGAAACTGCTTTAGGAGGTAGGTCTCTCTGGCTTCCAGTGAGCAGATCCCGCATGCAGTTGTGTGCCTTCTGCCACTGGCAGCGTCCTGTCCCAGCTTCAGAACAGAGTGGTGGGACAGGGTCTCCCTGTTTCCAGTCCTTCATTTGTGGAATTGCCTTTGGGCCCTGTTCCCTTTGAGTGTTGAGACCCTAGAAAGGACCTGCCTTCAGGAGTGACCCTGAGGGCCCGCTGTGCCGGCCGCCGCCTCTGACTATGCCTGTCACGCCTGTGCTCTCGGCAGACAAAGAAGGGGGTTAAGAGGAAAGCAGACACCACCACCCCCACCACCATCGACCCCATTCACGAGCCGCCCTCACTGCCCCCGGAGCCCAAGACCACCAAGCTGGGCCCCAGGCGGGAGAGCAGCCGGCCTGTTAAGCCCCCGAAGAAGGACGTGCCAGATTCGCAGCAGCACCCAGCACCGGATAAGAGCAGCAAGGTGTCGGAGCAGCTCAAGTGCTGCAGCGGCATCCTCAAGGAGATGTTCGCCAAGAAGCACGCGGCCTATGCCTGGCCCTTTTATAAGCCCGTGGACGTGGAGGCACTGGGCCTGCATGACTACTGTGACATCATCAAGCACCCCATGGACATGAGCACAATCAAGGTGGGGGATGTGCCCTGGAGCTGGGGCGGGGGCTCCCCAGGACAAGGATGGCTGGCGTCTCTGAGCCCAGTCCGGGCAAGGGCCCAGTCTTAGCTGTCTAGACTCTTCTTACCCATCCAGAGAAGCCCAGCGCCCCCTGCTGGGGATCGTGGGGACAGCCCCGAGACTGTGTGCTGTAGACAGCGGTGCTGCCCCCTTGTCCTCAGAGCCCTCTGTGGCCTTGAGGCCCAGTGTCCACAGACACCTTCACGCGGCAGATGCTGCCGGAGAGTTTGGAGGGCCGTCACTCTGCCAGGCTCTGTGTCTTTGAGAAGGCCTTGATGTCTCTCGTCAGTAGGAGAAACACAAGTGCTGGCATTTTCACTGTAGTGTTTTGAAGCCTTTTTGGTTTTACTTATTTTAAGCCTTTTGGCATTTTTTTTCTGGGAGTGGAGTAAACCTGCCCAAACATGGAATGGGCAGAGCAGGGGACACTGCTGTGTTCCTTTTGACCGGTGTCCTATCCTGTATTACCAAGACAAGTACACGCCAGGTCAGAACTGGACCCAAACTTCCCTTTATGGTTCTGGCTTAAGCTCTGCCTCTTTGGATTCTTTGTCCACTTGCCTGTTAGTCCGGCGCAGTGAGTGGTTTGGGTGCTAGCAGGGCAGTCTCGGCCCTAAGCCTTGCTGTTGAGTGTCTCCTTGTCCCCCTGATGCTGAGAGTTGGAATGATAACCTCTTCCCACTAGGGTCTGAGTTAAACCCAGAGCCATCGAGAAGCTAACTTGCTCCTACAGGCAGCCCTCTTTGCTGTCATTTCCTGTTGGAACAGGGGCAGCCATGGCTAACTGGGACCTGTCTTGTCCTTACAGTCTAAACTGGAGGCCCGTGAGTACCGTGATGCTCAGGAATTTGGTGCTGATGTCCGATTAATGTTCTCCAACTGCTACAAGTATAACCCTCCTGACCATGAGGTGGTAGCCATGGCCCGCAAGCTCCAGGTGAGGCTCTGGGGAAGCTCCATGTGTGGCATCCTGCAGCAGAGCAGGCTGGGGTCCTGGGTGGGCCAGGCCTCTATGGGCCTTGGCAGATTTTATTTCTCACTTGCTTTATTATGTCACATTGCTTTGGAAGTGTGGACTAAAGTCAGGATAACACGTACATCTTACGTTGGGATTATTTCATTACAAGTAAAGCAGGGTTGGTTGGTTTTGGTCTTGGGCATTTTGGGTTTTGTTTTGGAGTGTCCCACTGAAAGCCCACCCCCCCACCCCCCACCCACCTGCATTCGGTTGCCCTTGGCCGGAAGAGTGCATATGCTGTGCATGGCCCCACCTCTTGAAAACAGACCTGTCTCAAGTCGACGAGGGACACTCTTGCCAGGTAGATTCTTTGTCACAGTTGTGACCTGAAGTAATTCCTCAACTGTGGGCATTTATTCACCAGAGCCTTGAAAGTCTTTGTTTGCCTTCCAGCTGCAGAGTGGCTGCTTCTCTATGTTCTGTGTGGCCATGATGCCCTAGTGGGTGGGATTCGTGGCCCTTTCAGGTTGATTCTGGGTGGTACACACTGCAGAATACACACATGGGTGGAAGGGAGGGGGAAGATTACAGCATAAATGTGTGAACTGACTCCACTTTTCTTTATTAAAAAAAAGGAAAGATATTCAAATTTCAACGGAAGTATGTCTTTGGGTAGAAAGATCAGAAATTCAAAATTATGGAGAATAAAATCAATATTTAGAACTGTTATAATCTGGTTTTTTTTTAATACTTTGAAATTACATATATAATATAAAAATTCCAGCCTCCCATCCCCAAGGCCCCAGGTTGCACTTCTGCATTCAGTGTCAGTAGGCCGTGGGCTGGGCCACCTGCTGTCACAAGGTATAGGTGCTCTAGCTGGATCTCAGGTCCAGTCTGCACATCCTGTGTCCAGCCCTCTCCTGGCATGTGAGCAGGACTTCCTCACACCAGGCTTTCTCAGCCATCTGTGAAATGCTTCCAGGGCAGAATCAAGGACTTGCAAAAGGACCTGTGGGTGGGTCTGTGTTTGTCAGAAGTCACCTGAACCCTGCCACCTACCTGCCTCTCAGCTCTCTTAGCTCTACACCTTGTCCCACACTCACCAGCATAGTGTCTCCTATGTCATCTACACTGGAGCCAAGGCATGGTCTCCTCTGTTCTTTCACTTGGCCCTGTCTGGGCCAGCCTTTAGTTCACAGAATGTGTCCTAAAAAGTCTAGGGGTAGCAAAAAACCTTACTAGTGTGGACTTGGCTATCATGTAAACACACACTCAGACTCAAAGGTTTTTATTTCTACTGGCTGTTTCTTAGTTGTGTTTTCTCTCAGGTTTTTTGTTTTGTTTTTCTTCAGTTCGGTACTATCTTGTCTGCTTTCTTCATAAAGCTGCTTTTTTCACTGTTATGCATTTCCCATCCTTGAAGAAACTCAGGCTTTATAATTTTGCTGTAGTTCTCATACGTAATCACCAGGTGGCAATGGTCCCTTCAGAGCAGCATCTTAGTGAGCTCACCCCCCCCACTACTGAGGACTTGGGGGGTAGTAGCTTTTGCCCAGATAAATACCCACATCCTTTATTTGCCCTGATGAAAACAGCTAAACCAAAACAAGGTCTCTGTCAGCACCAAAGATTACTATTTTGAGCTACTCTATTTAAAAAGGAGATAGAGAATATCCTCTGATATATTCTAGCTTTTTGTCTTCCTAATTTTTGTGCCTGTTTTAAGATCATTTGGGATTTTGTTTTTGTTTTTTTGTTTGTTTTGCATTTTTGTCCTGGAAGTAGTATGAGCACACCCTAACACAGGGTTTACTCAGAGCAAGGACACTGAGATGTTTGCCACACAGCAGCTTCTTTTTTAAACATTGACTCCAGATACCAGGCTAGATGGGACAAGGTCCTTGCTCTTGAGAAGGGTTCGTTTCAGGCAGAGGCAGGGGACAGTGCCCAGTGGGCCACTCAACAGGGGGCTGCCTCTGCCTGTAGCCTGCTTTGCCTGCTGCAGGGTGGATCTCTGTGTTACTGAAAGTGACATGCCAGGAGGCTGGTGGGGGTGTCTCCGCTTCAGCAGAGTTGACATGGCAGGCCACCTGTGCAGGCTTTTCCCCTGGAAGGTACTTCCTGTATTTGTGGCTTTTCTTTTTCTTCTTTATCTTGACAGTCTCTAGGATCAGTATGGTTTAGGTGGCTAGATTGCCCACTGGAGAGTAGGGGGCAACAAAACCCCACACCTTGTTTACCTCAGTGAGAGGTACTGGGACTTCCTGTCTCTTGACTAGGTTGTAACTAGGCTGTGCCAAAGGACTGGAATTTTCCTCTTCTAGTCTCTAGGTTTTGGGCCTTTAGAAAACCCACATCCCACTGCTCGGCAGCTGTGGTCACAAAGACAGCCAGGAGCCCTCAGGCTTGGGGTTCCTCAGGAGCCTGAGGGTGGCTTGAGTTTAGGGCTGGCAGCCCAGCTGGTAGGCCCAGAGCTGCTGGTGGTACTGTCCCCTAGTCTGCTCTATTGTGAAGTGAGGAGTAATTTAGGAAGTTTGGTACCTATGTGGACTTACCAGAGTTTTATTTTGAGAGAAAGTGCAAATTCAAGGTGGTATGCAGTTGTGTTTACAGCAAGGAAAAAAATTAAACGGAAAAGTGTGTTTGGGTCCTGCATCAGACCCCCGAGGTAGGAAGCTTTTGAAATATATGTAAGAGAGAGAAAGAGACAGTGTGTGTGTGTGTATCTTAGTGTCCACGCACAGTTGCATCTCCAGCACCTGGGACTGGTGGGCTTCCCACAGCCTATGTCCTGTTCCCCACCCCTACTCTCCAGCCGCTGTGCCCTGGGGGATGCCCAGGTATGGCCAAGCCCCACAGCAATATCCAGGCGTGGCCATGGAGGGGCTGACTGGACTGTACTTCCCCCTAGGGTCTCCAGCTGTGCAGAGGCGCAGGCTGGTTTGCCCAGGAGTCTTTGGGTACTGCAACATCCCAGTACCTGAGCATCTCCTTTTAACTAAAGAGGGGATAAGGAGCTTTCTCCATGAGTTTGATGTAGCCCAGAATAAATGACTCTGGTCAACATTCTAGCAAGAGGAGATACTTGCTCTCTGAAACCAGTGTTCTTGGTTGATGTTGAGAATTTTGATGAGCTCAGGTTGTTGGAGGAGGGGGGCCGGTAATGTCATACCCGGAGGAGGAGATGGGTCCACCTCAAGACACTGTTGACCCTAACGCAGAAAGCCTGAGCCCCTGCTCCCTTGGGAGGGTGCTGCTTGTTCGTGTTCACTGCTCCTCCCTTTTGCTGTCCTCCTGCATAAGACACTTGCCCAGATGCGTCTTACTGGGTTTTGCCATCCTCCCCTGACCCCGCTCTCCTCGACCTCTCCCTTTGCACCATCTTCCCAGGGGTCTGCAGATGTTGTTGTCCTACTCTTAGGTCTTAGATCCCCCACAGGCTGCTTGCCACCTCTTGCTGTTTCTGCCTTGGCACTGAGACCACTTCTCAACTATTTGTGTTCGCCCCTTGAGGGCAGGGAGCACATCATTCCTGTTTACTACAGAGCAGGCGCTGGTTAAGTGTGAGTCTGTCTCAGCCACTAGGGATAGTTCTCTGCAGTGGCCCTTGGCTCATTGGCATACAGGCCTGACTGTGTTGCCTAGGATGGTCCCCCACTGGAGCTGGAGCAGATGGGCGGATTACAGGCCCTCAGCCCTGCAGACCCCATGGTGCCTTCCCAGCCAGCCCAACTGACCTGTCACATGCTCCTTGCTATTGGGGCTTGGGGCCTTGGGAGGGCAGAGACCAAGAAGCAGCAGGGGAGTGGAAGAAGGTCTCTAGGTGGGTGTCACCCCCATTTCCGTAACAGTCACAGCTAGGGGAGGGTAGGAACAGTGATGTCTTTGGGGCAAAGGTAGTGCTGTCTGGCAGCTGGCGGGGGAGGCTAGCCTCACAGACAGGTGGCACGAGACAGCTTCTGCTTGATAAATGGTCACCTCCCAGCAGCACCAAGTGCTAGGCCCTGCTTGCCACCCTCCTCCCTTTGTGGGGTCCTGATGCCCTGCCACCTTCTTAGACATACTTCTCTAAGAGCAGGCCTGGCTCTTAAGATGCTTGTGTGGATCAGTTGGGGACCTGAGCCTGCTCACATCAAGGGCATCACCTGGCTGGTGATGGCCTCTGGTCATCCCTCCTGTTTGTCTTCTCTGTTGCCCTCAGATGTGCTCCAGGATTTATTTCTGAGTAAATTAGAAAGTTATTGCCCTTCTAGCACTTAACCTCAAAACCATTCCGATAACAGAGTTCAGGCAGACGCCTTGCTGAGAGGAGAACCTGCCTTCAAGGAGACTGAGTGAACTTGTCTGGAGGGGAGGGGACAGCACCACAGTTGTGTGGAATGCCTGCCCTGCTGTCCAGGTCACTTCCCCAGCTGCCTGAGGGCTAGGAGGCCTGAAGCTGTGTTTCCAAAGACGTCAGGAAAGCCGTCTAGGGCTGGCTCTGTCAAGTACGCCCCAGTTGAAACAGCAGCCTTGGAGTTTGAGCCCACAACTCTTTTGGGCTGTGCTGCTTTCTCAGGCATTGACTCACACTTGGGAAAGGCCCCTTCTGTTGCATGAGTTGCCATGTTGACTGGCAATCCAGGCTTAGAGCAGGTACCAAAATCCTGCTGGAAAGCCAACCCTCAGTCCTGAGTTATCATGAGATTTATGATGTTGGAGCTGTTGGGGTAGCAAGGGTAGCTGGCTGGTGCAGCACGCAGCTGAACCCCCAGGTACCCAGGAAGGGTCGCTGCCCCCTACGTTCTGTGACCCACACAGTTCCATCAGATTTCTGAATCTCAGAGTTGGGAGGTTTTAGGATCTCCTGGGGTGGGATACTGTGCTCAGTCAACCCAGGATCTGCACAAGGTTACTTGCACCTTGCAGGGTTGGCTTCTTCCCATAGTCTATCCTCAGCGCCCCATCTCCCATCCGTATCTTTCTCACATTGCCTAGTGTACCATGGAGATGCCCCAGCTAGTGGCATGGCTCTGCTCAGTTACATGCTCGCTGCAGTGAGGGCTTGGTCTCATCGCTGGCTGTGGGCTCTGTGCTGGGCACACGCCCTACAAGAACATGAATCGTGAGATAGAGCCTCCGGTGCTGTTCATTGTTGTGTCCTGGTGCCCAGCCCAGCATCCAGAAGGCTCCCTTGGGATGTGCTGACTAAATGAACACCAACCTGATGGGAGCCTAAGAGTATTCTTTCCGTCGGTCCTCACCTGGCCTGCCAGCTGTCTCCTGTGGTGTAGGTCACATGTCTTTACCTGGACTCTTTCCCAGGGTGTGGGTGCCAGGCCATGTCAGGAGCATCTTCCTCCTCAAAGTGAGATTTGAGAGAGGAGTGTTGGAAGAACTATCAAGGGGGCCTGGGTGGCCCCTTGCCTTAGTGGTGGGAAGGGGGTCATCACTAGCCTGGCCCTCTTTAAACCTCCGACTTGCTTCCTGTTGAGTCAACCCCAGCAGCCAGACACAATGTGGTGATGCAGGGCTACGGTGCAGGCGCCCCCATTCCACCTGTCTCGGCGCCCAGCAGCCCTCATGGGCACGGCTTCCCCCCACCCCCTCCCAGGATGTGTTTGAGATGCGCTTTGCCAAGATGCCGGATGAGCCTGAGGAGCCTGTGGTGGCCGTGTCTTCCCCAGCGGTGCCACCCCCCACCAAGGTTGTGGCCCCACCCTCATCCAGTGACAGCAGCAGCGATAGTTCCTCAGACAGTGACAGCTCAACTGATGACTCCGAGGAAGAGCGAGCCCAACGGCTGGCCGAGCTCCAGGAGCAGGTGAGGACACAGACAGCCCCATTTCTAGTCCTCCCTTCCCCCTCAGATCCGTGGACTGGGGTAGTCTCACTAGGGGTCTCCAGATGATGTCATTGGCTTTGAGTTCTAGCAGGAGCAGAGTTCCCACTGGGCCCCTTATGGCAGGTCAGGTGCATGTTGATCATACTTAGATGTGTAATGCAGGTAATGGAGGTGGGGTGACATGGCCATTCTCTGGGCAGAAGTGAGGCTTCTGGATCCTTCTGGTGTCTGGAAGGAGGAGGCCAAGGTAGCATGTCCTTATCTCCTGGGGCTTCTGGGTGCTTCTCTCCTGACAAACTGGCCATTAGGCCTTTAGGGCCCACAAGTGTCTGTGCACTCTTGCCCAGCGTCTTAGGGATTCTTCCTGGGACCAGAATCTCCATGGGGCTTGGGTGGCTCCTCTGGCAAGGAAGACACTGGGCCACCTTTGGAGTTCAGGGTCTGGGTGGGTGTGGGCACTTTGGAAATCTGGTGAGATGACAGGTCACAGAGCTGAAGGCCAGCCCCCACCCCCTGCCTCCCTTGTCTCCAAACCCTGGTGATGGGGGTCCATAGAGACCAGGGTGATGGGTGATCAGTGTGTGTGTCTTGCCTGTCTGCTCCACAGCTCAAAGCCGTGCACGAGCAGCTTGCAGCCCTTTCGCAGCCCCAGCAGAACAAACCAAAGAAAAAGGAGAAAGACAAAAAGGAAAAGAAAAAAGAAAAGCACAAAAAGAAAGAGGAAGTGGAAGAGAATAAGAAAAGCAAAGCCAAGGAACTTCCTCCCAAAAAGACCAAGAAAAATAACAGCAGTAACAGCAACACGAGGTCTGTGGGCTGCCCCTGCCCCCGGTCCAGGTGGGGGTTCCCGGCCGTGGGAAGGGAGGCTGCCTCTGCCTTTTCCTCTGGATGGGCCCTTCGCGCTCACCTTGTTAGGTGAGGGAGGGAGGGAGGATAGCAGGTAGCGTGGTGCTGATGGCAAGGACAAGCCACAGCAGCCCCTAGTTCACCATTTGCGGTCTCAACTGCCGCGGCGTGCTCCCAGGAAGGTATTGCCAGCATCCCGTTTCCTGTGAAGACCAACAGGTGGGGGTGTGGAAGCCTCCCCAAGCCCCAGATGGAGGGTTGGGTGCCCTGCTTTCCCACCAGGACCAGTTTCTGATGGTATCTGTGTCACCCGCTCGTAGCAAGAAGGAGCCAGCACCCATGAAGAGTAAGCCCCCTCCTGCATACGAATCAGAGGAGGAGGACAAGTGCAAGCCCATGTCGTATGAGGAGAAGCGGCAGCTTAGCCTGGACATCAACAAGCTCCCAGGCGAGAAGCTGGGCCGTGTGGTGCACATCATCCAGTCGCGGGAGCCGTCACTCAAGAACTCCAATCCAGACGAGATCGAGATTGACTTTGAGACCCTAAAGCCGTCCACCCTGCGTGAACTGGAGCGCTATGTCACCTCCTGTTTGCGGAAGAAAAGGAAACCTCAAGGTGCCCTTGGGCCCCCTGGGGCAGGGGTGTTCCCAGTCCCTGGTGAAGAAGGGGACTGAGAAGGTGGGCTGAGCTGCTCCCCTTTGCCCACCAGTTAACGAGGCCCCTGTTGGCACCTTCGGTTTTCAGTTAGCTCTGCTGTCCAGTCTTGACCCTCTCCCTTTGCAGGATCCTCCCCACACCCCACCCCCAGTTATAAAATCTGTGTTCTCAACGTAGAAACCTTGAAACTTCTGAAGGGTTATGACATCACATTTGACCCTGCTGTGTGCTGTTGGTGCCTTTCTTGACTTCTCTGGCCGGTATCCATCTGGGGTCTACCTGCACACCTTGGTGTCCTAAGCCTTGGTCTAAGCAGCAACAGCTTTCATCCTCAGTTGCCTGCCACCAAGTCTTCCCCAACAGCTCCCTGCCCCCCACGTCTCTGAGATCTCTGGTGGGGCATGGCTAGGAGGAAAGGCTGCACCTGCCTACTGTCTTCTCTAGCTCTGTGTAGTCCCCTCTTTGCAAGTCCTTCAGGCAGCTCTTTTGTGTTATCAGTGCCTTGTCTTAGCTCACAGTTTTTGACTTAGAACTAGTAGGATTTAATCCGCGTCAGAACTTTGCACGCAGTCTTTGTCCCAGCCACACTGACCCCTGGGGTCCTTGGGCCTCTCCCCAGGGTGCCACATGGTGACACTCTCCTCGTCTGCATGCTGAAGTGCTGGGAGATCCATTGGGGCTCTGTCTTTTGTCTTGCTTTGCCTCTGGCTGTTGTGTCCCCTTTAGGTCCTCTTCACGCACTGCCAGAAAAGTAGCTGACGAGCATAAGCCCAGCACTGCCTTGTGTTAGGGAATTCCCTCCTACCCTGGTCTCCTAATCCTCAGTGACTCCTGTAAGAGGGTATTTTGAGAGACTGGAGGGACCTTAAAAAGTCCGGGATAAGCCAAGTTTTTGGTTGGCGTGCATGACAGACTGTCAGCTAACCGCTGGAAAGTGTGACACTGGCTGGGGTATGGAATAACCGTAGCCAGCCATTAGGAGCAGCCAGCCCTCTGGCTCATGGAACTCAGGGTCCTGCCTGACAACTATCCTTGTTGCTTTATTGCAGCTGAGAAAGTTGATGTGATTGCTGGCTCTTCCAAGATGAAGGGCTTCTCGTCCTCCGAGTCGGAGAGCACCAGCGAGTCCAGCTCCTCTGACAGCGAAGACTCTGAAACAGGTTAGATGTCTTTAACTTAAGAGTTTTGTTGCTCCCTGTGCTCAGTCCTGTGTCCAGGCTACTAGAGACCAGAGATGGCAGTCATAAGAAGAACTTGCTGGGCTCTCTCATCTGTCCGTCTTCCTGGCTGCCATGTTAACCTTTGACTGGGGTGATGGGTAGCCCAGCACCTGTCTCTTCGTGACCTGGGCTGCAGGGGAGGACAAGTGGCCAAGGGTGTTGAAACTGCAGAGCCCCGGGGAAAGAGAAAGGAGGACAGATGATGGAATTGATCTTAGTGTGACCCTGCCCAGCCTCCATGGTCTTCCCTGCATCACAGCTGCATGCAGCACAGCCCTTCCAGGTGATGTGTTTTGGCAGGTGTGGAGCAGACTGCTTTCATTTCTGCTGTGCTCTGGGCTTAGGGTACTGCCACCTTCCCCAGGGTGTGCTCACTGCTGCACTGACTGCTTTTTTCCACACGCACTTAGGATATGTATGTCCTGTACTTGTAACAGTTTCTTTCCTCTGTGCTCCATCGGCCCGCATCTGTGCCCTCTGGCACACTTGAGGAGCAGCTTTGATGTAGGACCTTGGGGGCAGGTGGAGATGCTGACAGTTGCGTGGTGGTAGGGAAGGAGACTTCTCCAGTTATAAGCTTCCCTGGTTTTTCTCAGGGGAGCAGATGGTCAGCTTGGTCCAGAGAAGAGGCTAGCGAAGAAGCCTGGTGACCAGCCTATTACGTGAGGTGGAGCTGGCCATCTGTGCCTGGGCACACGGGGTTGTCTTTGGGCAAGTCTAGCTCCATTAGCTGAGCAGACGATTGGCGGGCTGCATTGTGCACATCGACAGTGGGAAATGTGTTTGGGCAACAAAGATTGCTGGCATGTTCTTTCTAACTGGAAATAAACGATAAGCTCCACTTCATCGGTTCACATAAATAAATAATGTGACCTGGTGGTGCCCAGGGGCCACACTAAGAAGTTTGAGGACAACTTATAGCAGTTGGGAAGAGTGATGCTGCGCTGAGGTGTGTGGGTCCACAGGTCCTCGTATCAGCTCAGCCTGCCTCTGTGCAGCAAAGCTGGGACAAGGGGGCCTCTGGGCCTTGTCACTGTTCATCTTCTTACAGTAAGGGCACCAGGCTTTCCAAGTGAGTAGTAGGGCTCACCTGGGGGGTTGGTGAGGACTTCTGTAGAACTCCAAATGCTCTGGCCTACCTCGTTTTCAGTGGGCCAAAGTGACATGAAATTAATTATGTTCTGTATTTATTGATCTGTTGTTTGCAGAGACTGCTGTGAGTAATTTGCTGATCACCTCTGTTGCTGTCTCTTACCCTTTTTTCTTCCTAACCTGCATCCCCCTCCATTGCTTTTTTTTAAAAAATAATGTCAACCAGCAGGGGGCACCACACCCTATACTTGCTCAGGAAGGGCTGGCCCCAGGCCAGGGCCTGCTGCCCTCAGCCGGGTGAATGGCCGTATTCTTGGGCCCAGTTAGCATTCCTGATGACTACTGACTTCTCCCTTCCAGTTCCAGCCCGGCCTCAGGTTTGCCTTTGCCTCTGGGGTTTCTCACCTACATTTTCTTGTAGGGCTGCTCCTGCTTGGGGTTTTGCAGCCTTTCCCCCTAAGGGTCTGAGCAACCAAAGAAAACCCCAAAAACTGAAACTGACAGAGACTAGACAGTTAAAACAGTGTGGCTTGGCCCCACCCAACATGGCATCTTAGAGGGCTGTTACCATCACATCCTGATGTCCCAGTTGTGAATCTGTGACTATGACCTTTGTCCCTAGCCACTGAACTCTTCAGGGTGGGTTTGCTTTAAGCAGGAAAATTCCCGGGTTCTTGAGTGCCGTACACCCCTGCTATGAAGCAAACATGACAGCATTTCTTACTTTTTCACATTTTCCCCCATTTTAAAGAAAGTGGAAAGATTGTGCAACAAGTAATCTGAGAGTCCTGGGAACAGCTGTCCTGGCGGGAAGGAGAGAGAGATTTACAGTCTCAGAGCCGCCAGGCTGCAGGCTCCCAGGCTCCAGCAGTCCAGCCCTGGCGGCTCCCTCGGCGGCCTCCAGCTCCTTCCTCTCCCCCGGCACCCTCCCTACCTTGGGTTTTGCGAGGCTCTCCTTTGTTTTCGTGGTCCTGGCTTTTCCTTTGCCATCTGTGTTCATTGGAAAGCTCTGTTGGGGGCCAGCTGAGAGCTTTTGCTTTTGCTCTTGGGAAGGACCTACCCTGTAGGTTTGTGCCTTGTGGCTCAGACTCTACAGGTCCCAAAGTGGCAGCCTGCACCCTGGTACCACTGTATGTGGCCATCTACCACCCAGTCCCACACAGGAAACTCCAGCAGCTGCTTGTACTGGGTCCATGGAGCTAGGTAGATTTCAATGACCAGTTATAGGTGTTTCTGCCTTCGGGGGTAGGGCTGGTGGGGGGCACTGAAGGTATTTCTCTTGGTCTTTGGGGGCTTAATTGTTTTGCCCTTCTTATTCTTGTGTTTCCATTTGGATTAGAGCCGAAATTCCTGAAAGGGCCTGTTTTTGTCAGTTGTGCTGACAGAGCCCCAAGACGTGAATCACCAAAAGAAATTGAACAGAGGCAGTAAATTGGGGCTAGGGTGGTGGTATGTGGACTCCTCTCTGGCCACTGTCCATAGGGAAGGTTGTTGCCGACTGCTTGGGGTATGGGGCTGGTCCTTGGGGCCAGGCTGCTGTTCAGGAAGCAGCCTGTGGTGTGTCCACAGACTGGGGCAGAGGGGGTGTTTCTTTACCAGCTCTGTCCCAGGCCACCATGTGTTCCTCCTCCCACCCAGCAGCACGCAGAAATTTTGGCCAGTCCCACCATATCCTTTGAACCCAGCTGTTGGTCATGGACTTTCATTGAGCTTTGATTCTGGCCCAACCCTGGATCCGTTTGAGGGTTCAGTATTGCAAAGGGAGCGGCAGTGGTATAAGTGCCGCCCTCCCACTGCCCTTAGCCGTCTTCAACTTCCCCTCTGTCACAATGCTGATGCCTGGCTCTTCCCAAATGTCCCCTGCCTTCCACAGATCTTTATGGGCAGAGGTGGACACACAGCTCCTGTCCCACTGAAGAATGCCCCTGGCCTAGGCTGGGACGATTCAGGGAATTCTGGGGTAATTTTCTTGGACTTGGTCCTGGTCTTCTAGTTGCAGAGGGAGCACACTCCAGCTATTTTAGTCTCCTGGTTTCCTTTTCCCAGGATCAGTGCATGTGGGTGTTTCTTAATAGCCTCAGGGGGAAAAGGAATGCTTGGTGTTTTGGAAAGATTTGAGCTGGAAAGTGCAGGCAGAGGCCATGGAGCATTCTTCCCAGACAGCCAACCTCAGCTTCCGCGACCCCCCATCCCCAACCCGGGGGAGTGTCTTGGAAGGGCTCAGTTCCAGTCTCATCTTGGGGCCCGCTGCTGCCTGCGCCAAGGCTGTGATGTGTACTCTTGGGGAAAGAGTAAGTCCCCTGGCAGAGGTGGGAGTGGAAGAGATCTGGAGCACAAGGTTATAGCTGGTTGACCTGCATTGCCAGGTGACCCCTCACACACCCACACATGCAGAGGTTGCAGCTGGAGGGATTCTGGAGCTTCATGGGCAAGGGTGAGCCCTGTGGAATGTGCCCTGAATGAGAGACTGGCTGGTGGGCGGGTTTTTCCCACACACGCACTTGGGGACCATGGGAGTGCAGTGTTGGTTGCGTCTGTGACTCTAGCAGAAGCATCTGCTCTGCTGTGTGGGTGGGGATGAGTCCCATGTCCCCTCCCCAGGCAAGGGGAGGTGCATTTGATGCCCTGGAAAAAGAAAGGACAACTTTTCCGCCTCAACCTGTTTATATTTTTGTATTTGTTCTTCTCCTATAACTGGCTCCTCTTTTTATAATTTTTTGCTTGTTTCTTGAGGTTTGTAGGAATGCAGATGTGAAGCTGTTAGCTAGAGGTCCTGCACTCCAGAGCCCCTTTCTTGGGGGCTTTTCCTCTTTCCACCCAAGTCCTGAGGAAAGGTCAGCGTCACCTCCCTGAGATACGCAAGATGGCAGAAAAGCAGACCCTGGGGGGATATCCTCGAATCAGTGGGTGCCTAATGGGTGTGGCGCACCAGGCTGGTCTTCAGAAGTGATGGCAAGGAGAACAGTCAGGGGAGCCTCTCAGATGCAAAGACCAGTAAAGGAAACAGCAGCATGTACTCGGCGCACATGGAACTCATTCATTACTGGAAGCAGTTCTGTCTAGAAGCATAAACAGGCTCAGGGCGGTTCTGGAGACATCCACGCCTTCCGGATCCAAGGCCCTTCTAAGGGGAAGGTGGGTCTGTCCCCACCACAGCTGGCCAGGCAGGGGGCGGAACTCCTAGTCTGCGGCACTGTTCTCTTGTGCCCTGTCAGCAAACAGGGCACAGGAGGCTGGCTCAGTCTGCGGTTCTTCTGTTCTTATGACTTGAATGGTACATTCCACACCATTTCTCTCACACTGGTTTCTCTCTCCCTCTATGTAGGTCCTGCCTAATCATTGGACACGGACTCTTAATAAAACGGTCTTCAGTTCCAGATTCCTTCCCAGCAAGCTATAGCTTAAGTCCATTTTCTTCCGTGAAAGGGACAGGACTCCATCAAGTTATGGAATTCCTCAGAGCCCTGGGCCTGTTCCCCGGGGTGGATTAGTCATGTCCAGCAGCTCATGCCTAGTCCCGCCTCTGGGAAGGCTGCCTGCCTGGCTGCCCAGCCCGTGGCCTCCTGTGTAAAGACTGCCTGGCTGTCCCACCCAGCCTCCCTGGTTGTCTGGGATCCTCTGGGTGGGTGGCATCTTTCAAAGGGTGATGACAATCCCCCCTGCACACGCATACATGTGGTGCTGCTCTGTGTGCAAGGCCCTATCACAGATGTTTTCTCTTCAATCCTCCCTCTTTTTCCGGGACTCTGGATCCTAACTACTTCTCTCCTGAGCCTTGCAATGACATTAGCCCAGGAAAGATACCATTCAGCCTAAGGAAGAACATGCTAACATCTAGAGCTTCCCCAGATGAGGAACGGGGCTTTAGAGGAGGCCAGCTGGGCCCGAAGGCTCATCGGGGCTGTCCCTCAGCATGCCTTCTCTCCGGTGGCCTATGAGGAGGCTCCGTTAGCCAGTCTGTCACCAGCCACAGCTGACACAGCCCCCAGGAGTCCTCCTGTTTTCATTGTTCCCATTATTGCCATTTGGGCATTTCCCCAACTTCTTTGTTCTTTTCTCCAAAAGTCGAATGGGGAAGGTACCTCTTAGACTGCCTCCCGTCCTTTCTAGGTAATTAGAAGCAGGCTGCAGTGGTCAGGAGCTGCCAGGCAGGCCATTAGTGAGGGACATCTGGGGAGGAGTGGCAGTGCAGCCAGCTGCCCTGGCTCCTCTAGCTTATCCCTCTCCTCAGTAGGGTTGGGATCTGGGCTAGTGAGAAAGAAAGGACTCTTGAGACCCAGTGTGCTGGACCAGTTGATGGTGAGGGCATCAGAGCCTTCGGGGCCTGTTCCATGCACGTTTCTGAGAGGCACTGCCAGTGCAAGTACCCTCCTAGTCTTTAGTCCTCTAGAATGATGACAGCCACTGAGGGTGGGGCAGGCCAGGGTAGCCACATTATCCAGCCCTCTAAGAGACACTGAATAGGCTTTTTTTGCTCTAAAAATAAATACCAGCCCTTTTTTGGTCACGAATCCAGCGTCTCAGCGGAAAACTGCCTGACGTGAGAAATCCCCTAAGGAATAGCATCTGCGTGTCAGAGCTTTTTTGTTCTCAGTGTAGGTTGTGTGCACTTCAAGGCCTAGCCGTCTCCTGGCATCTTGGAGTCTGCCTTCTGGAGCTCGGGGCAGGCTGGAGAGGTGCAGCTGGCCACTGCGTGTGTGCAAATCCTGGCGCCCATCCCCAGCTCCTTGGGGCCATAGGCCCAAGCAGCTCTAACTGTCCCAGACCAGCCTTGGCCTTGGGTTCTAGTTTCAGCCTCCCCAGAACCTCCAGGGCCCTGCACTGATACTTGGAAGTTCCTAGATTGCCCCCTGATCCTCTGGCCAGTTAGCTTCCAGTCAAGCTCCATTTGCCAGACTATTTTGAGCTGCCCTTTGGCCTGTGCCTGATGTGTTCCCAGTGCAGCTCTGCCTGGCTCAAGCCAGGGTTGCTTCATGCCCGGAGATTCCCACAGGACAGTTAGGAAGCCACTGGCATTGTCTTTCTGGGAAGATTTTGCCATCTTGGAACAAATGGAAGGCTAGATTCCCACAGTGTCGGCCTGTGGTACTGCCCTACCCTTTCCCACACGTGTGCACATGGGCCATAGCCACAGACCAGCTCTCCTGTGTGGTCCTTGCACCCTCGCTCTCCAGGAATCCTGTCCTTCTTGCCTATGGGACTTACATCTGGCAGAGAACTTGATTTTTAGACTCAAGCTGTCACCTATACCTGGTGCCCCAGGAACAGAGCAGAAGCCCACTCACCCCTTGTCAGCAGCTTCCAACGTGCGGGCAGTGGGAGGTGCCAGCCGGGCCTGATGAGTTGCTGAAGGAGGGGTGGGAGGCCAAGGTGTCTGCTGGTGCTGAGGCTCCCGGTCGGTTCAGTTGATGGGCTCCACACCTCTGCCCTTACCTTTTGTCCTGTCTCCTTCCCTTGAGTTGGGGGGAGGGAGTGGGGAGGAATCAGTGTTTTAATCAGATTTTACAAAAAACTTTTAATTCTTTGTACAATTACCATCTATGTAAAGATAAAATTTGTGTTGAGTTCAAGATTTTCATGGAATAAAGATCACACAGTACTTGAGGCCATCTTCATGTAACCCTTTCTAGAGAGTTTTGTGTGGGGGTGTCTTGGGGCTGGTGTGTTGTAAAGTTGTGCATTTCCTGTCTTGTTTTCCTACCAGTAACTCCAATACAAGGCTCGGGCCACATGAGCCAGGCGTGGCTGTCCCAAACAGGCTCCAGCACCCTTTGGTCCTCCCTGCTGGCCCCCTCAGTTCTCTGGTCCTGGGGGTCTGCTGTGCACCTCCCACGTTCTCTCCCACTCTAGGCTCGCCCCACTCAGCACCTCAGTGGGGCCCTGGGAGGATACTCCTGGTGACTTTTCTAAGGCATCTGAGACCTGCTCCCTGAAACCATTAGGGCCCCATTGCACTGTGTCCCCCTAGTTCCCTCGTGGGCCTCTCTGCTCATGGCTGTGGGGAGGTATGAGGGCTCGGAGCCACTGTCCCTCTTTTATGGTGGAAAGAGGTGTTTCTCCCCAAGGCCGAGATGACAGGCCGTCCTGGTCCCACCCAGCCTTCTCCCCGCAACACAGTGTCTTCTACTGGTCAGATTTTACCCATTGGCCCCTTTGTTCCCCCAGGCCCCCTCAAAGGCATACCAGCATGGGAGCAGCTGCCCCCAGCCTCCCTTGAACTGCAGTTTATGTTACTGAAATCCATGCTGGGAGAGGAGCCCAGCCTGGTGGAATGCCCTGGCCTCTTTCTCCCACCTCCTTGGCTCAGCAGCCTCTGTGTACCAGACTTTACCCTCGTGTATATAGGGTTCCCTTGGTCTGGGCCTCCAGCCTCTATAGTCCAGTGTTCCTTCTCCACCCTGGGGCTGCCAGACATCCTGAACCCTGGTCCTGCAGATCATCCAAACTTCTCCCTTTTGTATGTGTGACCAAGTTTCATATGTGACCCAAAGAGTCCTGAGCTCTGTATGCTGGCATCTCTAGTCTCTGGGTTTGGGACTGGGCCTGCAGTTCCCATGTCCCAGGTGTCCCCAGTCACTGCCATTTGTATGAGGACATACGTCTGTAGCTGCTGAGGTCTGTGTCACTGTCTTGTCTCTTGCATGAAATGGTGAGCTCTTGCAGGGCATGAAGTCCCTTCTCATCCCTTTGGGTGGCGCAGTGCACCCTGAGGCCATGCACCTCACAGAAGCTTAGCACAGCCCTCCGTGAAGCAGCTTCCAGTGGAGGTTACTCTGCTTTGGGCAAAAGCATGTGTCCTCCAACACCAGCAGCAAGAGCCAGAACCCTGGCAAGGAGCTCGAGATGCCAGGCAAAGCCATGAGGTGCCTCTCAGGGACAAGAATCTGAAAGGCATCCTGGGTCCCCCCTCCCACCTGATGGTTGGTGACTTATTGTCTAGCCCTTGAGCACTGGCCAAGCCTCCCCTCCCTCTCTCCCTCTCTCGGGTTTACACCCAGCAGTGTTTAGCAAGGGGCATCCATCAAGCAAAAGTTCCTTAGCATAAATCTCTGGAGTAGGGGCGGAGGGAGTCATGCTGGTGCTTACACAGTCCTCACAGAGACAGGCACACCCCAGATGCGTCCACACAGTGGCAGCAACAAGTCATCGGCTCCTGAAGAACTGGGATTTCTCCCTGCAGCACGTTGACTGTATCCCAACACAGGAACTTCTCTGAGGCCAGTCTCCTGCAGGCAAGGGGAGTCTGGCCAGTGGACTCTTCCTTTGTTGGCCATGGTATTAGCACCTCCCCTGTTTGCTCCTGGTCATCCAAGGAGGCTGGCTGGCTGGCCTGCTTCCTTTCTCCTCTCCCTTCACAAAGTGCTCGGGCTTTGGCCCATGCTGACGTCACTGGTCTCTCTCATCCCAAATCATGCATCTCTGCTTCCCATGGGAGAATGGGAAGGAGTGAGCTTCAAGAGGCAATGCAGTTGGAGGCCGCCGAGTTGTTAATTTTTAGTTATGTGACCTGGGGCAAGTCTCTTAATTTCTCTCAGCCTCACTTCGCTATTCTGTCAAATGGACATGATCATTTCAAACACCATGGTTGTTCCAAGGCAAAGCAGGATGGGATGCAGATGCTCAGGTCACTCTGGTGGCCTCTGACTAGCAAATATGGGGAGGCTTTGGGCAAGGAGGTCTCCATAGCTCAGCTCCCAGTGCACTTGGGTGTCATCTTTTAATGGAGTTGGTGGTCTGGAACTTGGTAGGGCAGCTTTTCAGGCATGGTCCCCACTAGAAAAAAGTAGCAGGCAAATGGATAGGTGACACCCAACGTGTCTTTCCTTCCTCCGTGACCAACTCCCATCCCAGACAGAACCCAGCCACCCTCCCTCTCACTGTCACTGGCCCTTCTCGTGAACTCACCCTCTGTTTTCTTCTCACTCTGCGTCCAAAACCAGCTCCCAATCTTCTCCCCGTAGCCTCACCACCATCTGTTTTCCTCCACAGAGATGGCTCCGAAGTCAAAAAAGAAGGGGCACCCCGGGAGGGAGCAGAAGAAGGTATGTGGTCTCGGGGGTGTCCTGTAGCAGGTGGGCAGTAGCCACCTGCCTTTGTGGGCCCTGGGGGGCCCCTGTGTCTGACCCAGGCAGGTTCGGCTTACCTGACATCAACCTGTCTGTCTGCAGCACCATCACCACCACCATCAGCAGATGCAGCAGACCCCGGCCCCCGTGCCCCAGCAGCCCCCACCGCCTCCCCAGCAGCCTCCACCACCTCCACCGCCGCCGCAGCCGCAGCCGCAGCCACAGCCCCCACCCCCACCACCCCCACCCTCCATGCCACAGCAGGCAGCCCCCGCGATGAAGTCCTCGCCTCCGCCCTTCATCACCGCCCAGGTGCCCGTCCTGGAACCCCAACTCCCAGGCAGCGTCTTCGACCCCATTGGCCACTTCACCCAGCCCATCCTGCACCTGCCGCAGCCTGAGCTGCCCCCTCACCTGCCCCAGCCTCCCGAGCACAGCACTCCGCCTCATCTCAACCAGCACTCGGTGGTCTCTCCTCCAGGTGAGCTGCAGCCACACCTGCCGAGGTGTGGGGAGGTCCCCTTCCCACCCTGGGTGACTTTCAGAGTCTCGGTTGTCTTCATCTCTAAGGGGAGGTCAGCAGCTTCCCAGGGCCTTTTTGGAAATTACACAAGAGGCCCCAGGGTGGGCTTTGCATGGAGAGTTAGTGCTTTGGTACAGAAGATAATGGCTCGGGTCTCCTGCTGGGCCAGCCATTGTGTCAGACAGATGGAGAAAGATGTGACTCCTCTGCAGCTCCCAGTCAGCAGTGGAGGTTGAGGGGACACACATTCACCGCAGAGAGGACATACCTGTGGGTTTCAGGCAAGGCTTGCTTTGAGACCTGAAGGGCGAGTGTGAAAGTGGGAAGCACTTGGAAAGGAGGAAGGTTGGGCTCATGGAGCGCAGGGCAGGAAGATGCTGGCTAGGGGCCGGATCCCATAGCTCTCCCTGGAAACTGTCCTTGTTCTTGAGTTTGTGGGAAGCCAAGGAAGGTGGGGAAAGATTACCAGTTGGAGAGAGACAAGCAGGAGGTCAGGGTGGAGTGGAAAGGTTGGGCTGGGGGCCGCAGGGCACGTGAGCCTCACTGCCGC